TCAAAGTAAAGGGTGTTTCATTCACACTCTGACTTCTGTGGGGAAGAATTCAGAATTGAATATGGTTAATCCCCCCCCCCCCATTTACTTGCAAATTTGAGTTTCAGTCACTGAGGCTAAGAGATGTGCTACTGTTATGTTAAGCAACTGAATGTATCCTAGCTTGCCCTCCCCTCCCCGCAGCTTAATTAAAATGTTGACTTGCCTTGGGGAACCAGTATCACAGAAACAAGAGTTGCAGGTGCTTTGATTTGGTGTTGAACAAATAAAATGGCCACTATGTTGTCGAAGGCAACATGGGTGTTGAACAAATATAATGGCCACTGTTTAGGTTTTAAAGATATGATCTGTAGCTCTGACAAACTTTCTTGGGCTGTGGGAACCAGCTCAAAAAGACTTGGGACTGTATTTCCTAATTTTTGCTACCACAAAACCAACTACTTAGTCACTTTAATTTCTCATGATTTTATTCAAGCTATAATATGACAAAAGTGTTGTAGTAAATATGAGCCTGTCATAGTAAAAACCTCATAATAAAATAAACTGCTAAATATACTGGTGCTGCAATGAAATTTTTAGGCAACCTGGCACCAGGGGCTTGTTGAGGCCTGCTCTGTTTAAACTCTTGCGATAGTGGGCAAAGCTCATACCAATGCTCAAGAGATTCTTGCATGTAGTTTGTCTTGTGAAATACAGATTCTATAAGGGTGAGTTTTGTTGTGCCAAAAGGGGGAGGCACAGCCAGGGGATTTAACTGCCTGTACTATGCGTTCCCCACCCTGTACATTTCTCCCATTGGACTACAGAGGACACCAGCAGAGATGTCTGTAGTCCTCAATACCTTTGAGGACTCTCTAGAGGACATGAAAATCTTAAAGAAACAATATAAGGCCTTGATACAGCGAAAAAAGAAGGCCGCCATAGCCCTTGCATGGGAGCAATTAAGCTCAGCATGCAGAGATAAAAATCCCTGTTTATTCTGGAATATGGTCTCTAATTGTAATACTAGACCTCCCTCAGTGTGCAGTAATACAATTCTCCCTGAAACTTGGGAAAATTATTTTGAGCAGCTCTACCAAGGTCAGGATGAGGCTGCTTCAGAGGTCCTGGATATAGCTACCTTACCCTCTTGGTCCCCTGTGCATCCTCAAGAAATTAAGAACCTCATACAGACCCTGAGTTCCAACAAAGCCCCAGGTTCTGATCTTATATGTGCAGACCTGATCAAGAGGAACCTCGAGTGGTGGGTTCCAGTTCTTGCTACCTTATTTACAACTATAGATAGAACTGGTAGAATACCTAAAGACTGGGGGGTGGCAATAATAGTGCCTATTTACAAGAAAGGGAACAGAGAGGATCCTGTTAATTATAGGCCGATCAGTCTGCTAAGTATAATAAGTAAGCTTTATTCAAAACACTTACAGTGGAAGCTAAAAGACTGGATGGAGCAGGAAGGTCTTTTGAGACAGGAACAAGCAGGCTTTAGAGAGGGACGGTCATGTTTAGATCAGTGTGTGATATTGAATCACTTGATTTCCAAATACTCTTCGAATTCTTTAACCTCATTGTATGCAGCTTTCGTAGATTTTAAATCCGCATTTGATTCTGTCTCAAGAACAATCTTATGGGAAAAGTTGAAATCTTCTACGATAGATAGGCGCTTACTGTTTTTATTGAGAGCTCTTCACAAAAATACTTTTATTAGGGTACGATGTAATCCTCAAGGTCATCTTACTAGGATGATCAGGTCAGATAGAGGAGTAAAACAAGGATGTATCTTGGCACCTCTTTTATTTAATATTTACATCAATGACATGGTACAGTTTTTGTACAAACCTGAATTTCATCCTCCAAAGCTTGCAGACAGACACATCTCAATCTTGCTTTATGCAGACGATGCCGTCTTGCTTTCTAGGACCCCTAAGGGACTTAAGAGAGCTATGTGTGCTCTTATGCAATACTGTAATCAGAATTGCTTAGAGATAAATTATATGAAGACTAAAATAATGGCTTTTGCCAATAGGCCTAGGATGTTTAAATGGGTTATTGACTCTCGTACCATTGAGCAAGTTCGTTGCTATAGATACCTTGGAGTTGTATTTCAGTCGTCCGGTCATATGAAAGGCCATGTTGATTACCTGTCAGCTAATGCAAAGAAAAGCGCTGGAGCTATTCAAAGGTTCTTCTGGTCCAAAGGAGGTCGTAACTTAGAAGCTGCCATTAAGTTATTCACTGTAAAGGTATTACCCCAATTATTATATGGAGCTCCTTTGTCTCTCCTGACAAACTTGACCTTACTTGAAAGAACACAATCGAAATTTTTAAGAGCTATATTTCAAGTTCCAACAAGCGTTTCAAATGCTGCAATCCGTTTAGAGGCTGGCCTGGTTATGGTCGAGGCAAGATTGTGGATTGCTGCATTTTACTATTGGTTAAAATTGATTTTTTTACCCATTGGCCTTTCCCATACTATGATGCAAGATAACTTTGTTCCTTCATGGCGGAAAAAGATAGAAGATAAACTGGTCTGTTATGGTTTTTCAAAACAGTTTATTCTGTCTTTGGGACACGATCGGGCTAGATCAGTTCTAAAACAAAGAATATTAGATGTCGAACGACAGATGGACGTGAGCAGGATTAGGAGCCCTGTATTTGATGTAAGTTCACTTAACAAGATAGCTGTGAGACCTTACATCAAATATTTAGATATCAGCAATCATAGAAGAATTTTTACCCTATTAAGATACAACGCCTTACCCTCAGCCATAATGGAGGCCAGATTTACTAGATCATTGAGGAAAAGTTGTATTTGTGGGATGGGATCTGATGAAACATTGGAACATGTAATCTTCGATTGTCTTATATATCATAATGCCAGGGAAGTTTTGATCAAGCCTATAGTTAATTCCTTTCCAGGTCGTGATAGAAGGATACTTTTGTCAATTATGCTGGCAGGAGACAATCAAAAGTTGACTAGGATGGTTGCCAAATTTGGTTGGTTGGCATACCAAACTAGGAAAGAGATAAAGGACAGATAGGCCTAAACCTAATTTTTAATCAAAATTCTGATTCTATTATTTCTGTATTTTAAAGTTTTTAGATCCTATTTATAATTTTAGATGCCGATATATTTTATAATTTTACTGCTTCTGTAACTGTATTTACTTGTCTTCTATTATACTGGTCTATGACCGTAATAAACTTAATTGATTCCTTTGTGCAGTAATCTGCTTTAAAGAGCCTTTAGGGTTGGTGGGAAGAATGAATCCCAGTGGACTATATGCCTGCAATGGGGGCATGGTGTTAGACTGCTTTTAGATCACTGCAGATGTTTCTGTCTTCCCATCAATGTTTGTGGCTCAAAGCATTTTCATGTGCCATCTTGTAATTCACAAAGTCCAGCACAGAGGCTGGGATTAGGGGTGTGCATTTGGGTAAACCGAGCTGGAAAAAATACCCCCAAAATACCATGCCAGTATTTTCCAGATATTTTTCCAGCCAGTTAGCAAGTGGGCCATTTACTCAGCTATCTGAAAACGGCCGCCCTGAAAAATGCAGAAAATGTTAATATTCAAGGGATGGCGCTCCCTTTAAATGTCCTCTCCAAGCCATGCTGTGTCAAGTGAACTCTGAAGTGAACTAACTGCGACTATCCAGCAGCCCCCAAAATATTCAGGGTTTTTCGGGGCCACTGGATAGCTGCAGTTACAGTTCACTTTGGAGTTCACTTGCCACAGCTTGGAGAAGGCATTTAAAGAGACCACATGCTTTTAAACACTTTTTTCTCCATTGGAAACAATACAGGATGGAGGCACATTCACCTTCTTCTGGGTCCCATAGAATTGGACCTTGTGGTCCAGTCTTTTTGAAACTTGGAATTTTTTTTTTTTTGAGGAGAGGCACCATAAGCTATGTCGCAAACTTGGTGCCTCTACCTCAGAAAACAGGCCCCCCCCCCCAAACCCCAAATAACCCCAGATCGATTCTTCATTATAGCCTATGGGGACCATTGTCTATAGTGGTCCCCATAGAGTATAATGGAGCTGGAAAAATTCAACAATCCCAAATATTTCCTGAATCTCAATACCATACTGATCTTGGGATTTGGGAATAAAGGAAAATACTGATCTTTTTTGGGTTCAGTATATCCAACCCCCCAAAATACTGTTTTGTGTGTGCACACCCCTAGCTGGGATACCTTTTCCATGTTGCTGTTCAGCCTTTTGCTTGCAGGCAACACATCTACATAAACCATTCAAAAATGACATGTAGCAGGACACCATCTGAATGCTTAACTTGTATATGTAGCTAGGCTACCGAAGTGCAATCCTTTTCTTAGTGCATTGTCTTGGCAGATGTACGTCATAACCTTGGTAAAGATCAACACTGAAGTGAGGCAGGTTAGAATTTCCTGGTATTTGTTTAATGCTGTGCGTCATGGAACACTTTGCCTTATGAAAATGTGAGTTGGGCTGCTCTGCTTCTGGCTTCATTCTGGCAAGACTTGGGTCTGTGTGGTCAAGGCAAACGTAGCACTGAATTAAATCCAACTTACTGAACTTTCCCCAAGCATCTTATGAAAGATAACATTTCCATGGGTGACATTTGCTAATGTAGCCAGTAGAAAACTAGGAAAGCCTAAGGCCACCTGTGATAAGTTTGAGCATAAGCTACTCCTGAATCTGCATTCTGGGGGGAAATAATGCAGTGTATGAACTAGAAACCTGAAGATCTCGACCACCCAAAAAATCCACAATCAAACAGATAGGTAATATGAGAACTGGCCTTGGTGAGTCATAATGAGAGTTTC